AAGCCTCCATTTGGCAGCCGGGCCAATTAAATTCCAATCCGGGACATCTGGTTTGGGGAGCCTGCGGTCTGCATGTCGTTATCCCGCAGATAAAAGCAGCCACTCCACAAAGGCAGGCGCGCTGCAAGGAGCGCTCTGTGGGAAGCGGCTCTGGATTGGAGCCTTTGTCCAGGGCACCCTGGGCTCCCCGGCTCCGTGCGGGGCCCCTGTGTTCCCATCCCATCCCGGACACAGGGGAAATGCCAGTGGAGCGCCGGGGCAGTGCCGCAAGGCATCCACGGTAGCCCCATCATGGCCTGGTGTCTGTGACTCCCTCGCCTGCTTTTTGGGTGGTTTGGGGTGTTTTTCTGCATGCTCTGCTCCTGGAGCAGCCCCACTGCCCGCCAACATCAGAGCAGAGCCCACGGCCGTGCCGGGCCGTATCCTGCTCTGCAGGAAGCTGCAGTCTCTTGGTTAGCGCTGAGCGTTGTAGGGTAGGAATGGACCGGAGGCGGGTTGCATACACATCCCGTCCCAAAGAGCCACCAGCGCCGCTCGCTCGGCTCGGGATCATTGGGAAGCCGTGCAAACCCCTGGCACAAGGAGCCCGGCCTGCGCGGTGCAGCGGAGACGCCAGCGTTTGCAGGTTGGGTTTCACCAATGCATGAAGCCTCACGCGCTGGCGGCTGCAGGAACCACTTGGAAGCTCGACCGCAGGAGGCTTCCAAACCAGAGAGCAAACAGGGAGAGGCCGCGTGCGTGTGCGCTCCTCCAGCAGAGCATGCAGGGGCTGCGCGGGACCCGCGGGCGTTTCGCCTGCCCGTGTCCAGCCCCGGGCTCGCGGGTGCTCCCTGCCTGGCACGATGCTTACGCAGAGCCCGGGCTGGCGCCACGGCCACGCTCGAGTGTGAAACAGCCCTGGGAGGAGCAGGGCGCCAGGCCCCCAGTGCAGCTCCTGCTTTCTCCACTCTCAGTCCCGCGCTGGTTCTTGGCAGCCTCAAAATTTGCAGCAGCCCCGAGCCCCAGACACCAGGGCTGGTGTCTCATGCCATAAATGATGTGACAGCCTCGGAAGCCCCTTCCAGCAGCAGTCTGTGATGGGGCCACTCTCTTGCCTTGCAGCGCCAGCCAAGACCCGGCGGCAGCCAAGAAACCGCCGCGCCGCTTGTGCGGCCGCTTCAGCCGCATCAGCATGAAGCTCCCACGCATCCCCCTGCGCCGCCAGAAGCTGCCCAAGGTCGTAGGTAAGGAGTTGAGGTCCGGAGGGACCCCGGGCTGGGTGTGGGACCACAGTGCAGAGCTTGGCGTGGCCGGCGGGGATACCGGGAGGCCATGAGGCTTCCTGGAGCGCGGTGGTGACGGTGACACCGGGTCCCGTCGGTGCTGTGGGATCACAGCAGTAGGATGCAGGTGGCAGCAGCACGGAGCGGAGTTTCCACAGGGCAGCTGTTCCCCTTGGCACCTCCTGCACGGAGCAGCCATCCCGGGCTACGTCTCAGGCCAGCCCATGGCCTGGGAAGCACGTCACTTCCCTGGCAAAGCTTGCGCCAGGCCCGGGCGGGTGCCATGGGACAGGGGGTCCAGCCCCACAGCAACATCCCATACCCGTGAGTCCTGTGTCACCTTGCTTGGGACTGCCCATGTGCAGAGTGACTCCTGCTCAGAGCAGCGGGACGTGGAAGAAGGGCCGTCTGGGCTGCAGAGGGGCCGGAGCAGCCGTGGGCACAGCAGGGGGGGGGCGCG